TCTATCAATCAATCAGTCTATTTGTCAATTGATCTATCTAGAAGTGCTCATATTACATAAAAAAATTCCATAAAAAATAAACATTATTTTCAATACCCAAGGTATGAAAAGTTAACTCTTGATTATTTCTCATGTGTTTGTCTTGTTCTTAAGTTACGTAAGTCTTCCTCTTGTCTCTGTGTTGAGGACTTTATTTTCCAGCTGGTACTAAAGTTCAAATCAGTTTTTCTTGCTACTTGTTACATCAGCTGGTATCAATACCATTCATTTTCTTTTCTCTCTGTGGCTAATAAACTGGTACTGAACAACTGAAGATGAGTTCTTAGACACTGTAGCTGGTATCACTGTAATACTTCAGGATTCTGACCATGACCTTGCTTAGCCAATGTATACTCATTTGCTTTTGTAAATGTCCACCATAAATCAATTTGCCTATTGTGCTTCCCTCTTTTTTCTCCTTAAGTGGAAGATGAATTAAAGGACAGGGTTTCTTACCACCTCAATATAAAACTAAAGCCCAAAGGAGAACAAGATTTAAAAGCTAGGATTTCAGATCTGTAGGGATCTCTCCTCACCAACAGATCCCATTCATTTTAAGCACGCGTTAGACCCAAACAGGGAAAACTACCAAAGTGCACATAAGAAAAGTTTCAGTGGATCCACTGTGGCCCCGTAATGAACAAGGAGAGTGAGATCCTAGGTCTCCGACAGGCAGAATGTGACAGAAATCTGGTTCAGATGTTTCTGAAATGCTAGGTTTTGCCAGTGGAGGGAAGCAATAAAAACTAAATAAAAGGCTGGTACTGCAGAGCTGCTAATTAAAACAATTCAGAGGACATAAATGCTAGAGTAATTTTGAACCCACCATATCAGCCTAGTTTCAATGCAAATATACTGTTCCGATTTCTCCCTTCATTGGGAGGATATAATTAGTTCAGCTGCAACAGGGTGGAAGCCGTAAGGCAGCCATTTTCTGGTACTGCCTGCTCCCCCATGATGGAGGAACAGCTGCTACATGCCCCTCCCGCCACGGACTGCCCTGAGCTGTGGCCACCCCACAGGGCTGTTCCTAAAGCATCATGAGCAGAAGGCACTGGTTACCATTAGGACCTGCTCTTGCTTAAAGATAAGGGACATGTTACTCCTCAACCTAGTTGACTCTGGGACCAAGCACCATCCTTCCAGATTTGAGAGCCTTGGCTGGCACAAAAATCCTCCCACATTCAACCCTGGGGTTTGACGCAGGCTTTTGGAGAGGATAGGAGGAGAATAATGAAGAAAAACATACTTAAGGTGCTGGCACATGAGAAACCAAAGCTCTGAAGTAGGCACATTCCCCAGCTCCAGTGACAGAGAGGATGAAAAGACATGATGGGAAGGGGACTAATGCAGAGCTTAGAGATGATCCAACAGGTCGATAACTAATGGGAAAGCAAGAATGGTCTGGGAAACAGCCACTGCAAGATGGTGCTGTAGTTCATGGGCAGAATCGGCAACAGCTTCTGCTTGTCCATTGGACAAAACCAAAGCATGGAGCCCACTGATTTGCTTTGGATATTTTTAATAAGCAAAAATATACTACAAATGACTTCTAGGATAATAAATAATTTCATGGAACCAAAAGGCGAACCATCGTTTGTTTTCCTAGGCTACTATCAAATTGTCTGGTCTTAATATCCATCATCCACTTTCCTACCCCCTCCTGCCCATCCCCACCTATAACAGAGGCCAACGTAAGGCTGGTTCTTCCTCCTCATCCTTAGTGGGAACAACAAATAGCCAAGTGAACATACAGATCCCCCAGCTGCCACTGAGTAGTGATCATGGTGGGAGAGGGGTGGGGGATGGGGTTGCATAAATGTGGCATCTGAAGTACATTTGCTAATGACGAGGATAGTTCCAAGAACACTTAACAAAGAAACTGGGAAGCATTATTTCCTCCAATCAATTCAGAAAAAAGAACTTCAGGAAAACGTCACCTAAGTGGTGAATTTCCTTTTTAATAAATGATAACAAAATAAAGTAGATAACAAATGACAGTACTTTTATAATGTATAAATAATCCAGACTAACTTCTTATGATCATAATAATGGTCACTATTTAGCTAGTATTTTCCTTTTTAGGCTTTTTTTAGACATGAGATATAATTCATATACCGTAGACTTGTAGACTTTTCAGACTTTTTTTAAAGACATGAGATACAATTTGTATACCATAATATTTACCTTTCAGTGGTATTTAGCACATTTATCAATATACTAAATAACCACCACCACTGTACACTTCTAGAACATTCTCATCACCCCAAAAAGAAACTCCATATCTAGCAGCAGTCACTTCTCATTCTCCATTCTCCCAGCCATTGGCAACCACTGATCTACTTTCGGTCTCCACGGATTTGCCAATTCTGGACATTTCATATAAACGGAATCCCATATGTGATCTTTTGAGTCTGGCTTCCTTCATTTACCATAATGGTTGCATTAGGGCTCATCTGTGTTGTTGCATGAGTCAGTACTTCATTCCTTCTTACTGGTGAATAATAGCCTATTGTATAATCACCACATCTCATTTATTCATTCACCAGTTGTTGGACATTTAAGTTGTTCCCACTTTTTAGTTATTATAAATGATGTTGCTATGAACATTTGTGTACACATTTTTGTGTGAAAGTATGATTTCAGTTCTTTTAGGTAATATACCTAGGAGTAGAATTGTTGAGTTATATGATGAGTCTGTGTTGCACATCTGGAGAAACTGCCAAACCATTTGCCAAAGCAGCTGCACCATTTTGCATCCCTACCCGCAGTGTACGAGGGCTCTGATTTCTCCACATTCCCATTAACACTTGCTATTGTCCATCTTTATTACAGCATCCTAGTGAGTGTGAAGTGCTATCTCAATGGGGCTTTGATTTACATTTCCCCAATGACTAATGATGTTGAGCATCTTTTCATGTGAACATTTGTATATCCCCTTTGGAGACACCTCTACTTAAAAATTTTGCCTATTTTTTAATCAGGTTGTTTATCTTCTTACTGTTGAGCATTTCTATCTTGTTTCTCTGATTTATTTTTTCTAGAGATTATAAGAAATGACACTGGACTCCACCTGGCTCAGTTGTGGCTTTGGGAATGAAGAATGATTTTATCCATTTGGATCATGATAAAGCTGAAAACATTTGTTGAGTACCTATTTTGTGCCAAGCATTCTAGGACCTTTATTAACTTACTGTAAAGACGGAGCTCTTGCTAGGGCCACATGTTTCTCCCTTCGATGCTCATCAAGATCAGCAAAGCTTTTCTTTAGGGAAGGACTCATGTGGTTCTTCATCTCTTGAGACAGGGAAACATCCCCACACCCACCTCCCACCAAAGGAACAGAGCTAACAGTGGAGATGCTTCCATCAGTAGGTAAAGGCTCCCACTATATTTTAGCTATCCAGAATAGACTAGTCATCGTTAGACTCAGGACAGGTGCTTCAAAGCTCCATTTTGAACACTTAAAGTTAAGACCATACTCACGTTTTCTACAGACACACCCAAGAGAATCCTTTTCAATTTGGTCTCCACTCTTTTTTTGTCCCACAGACTGTGAACAATGCTTCTCAAGGTGACAAAGGAAGAAATCCCACAAAACAATCTACAGAAGAATATGCAGCAAAGCACTGGATTTATTTTCTTAGACTACTTGTAGTGATGTTGGTTTAACTAAAATGCAGGGGCATGAGAAGTGAGTAAGGCTGCAGAGAGGGGCATAGGAAACAAACAAAGTTCCTCAAAAAAAAAATTCATAAAGGGAAGACCAAAGGTGAGGAGAAGCATTGGCTCTGCCAGTCCTACCTTACGAAATCTAGTCAAGTTTTATGTTTTACCTTCTTAGGCTATGTACACACAGCACATTTATTCCTTCTCTTTCCTGTTCTCTTCTTCTGCCTTGAAAATCAAGCAAAACCACAGGAAAACCAAATTGAGGGTTTGAGGTAGTAGCATACCTCTTCAAACCCTCACTTTCAATATCGTGACTTCAAGGTTTCCAGAGATGTCCTTTTCCTCTCCTACCCAAGTTCCGAGATCTCAGTTAACAAATCCACCTTGCCCAGGGGACCAGTTCCAGGTAATCAGGGGATTTGACGTGTTTCTGTAACTCTAGCCCTTCGTGTTTCTAGTGGTGGAAGCCTAGCAAACCAGAGGTGGGACTATTCAGGAGGAGGCAGGACAGAACTTCTTACATCTCACAAAGAAGGCCACCTGCCAACCCACTTTCAACCAAGATGGCTCTGGGTGGGAACTTCCAAGGTCTATGGTGTTATTATTTATGTGAAAAGTTCATCTTCAGCCACACCCTCAGATAAAGGCTCCAGGCATAATTTCACAGAATCAAATATAAACTTCAAAACCCTTTAACCTTGTGCCAACCAGGGATTCCCCCAAGCCCTTGGGCTCCCCTGGCTGAACCCTCACACTGAGGGCTTTTCTCTTGGAGATATCACACACCACTCTGGACAACCATGGAAAGAGCAGGAGGGGTTTATGGGGTGCATTGTGTTCCCCCCAAACTTGTGCATGGAAGCCTTAACCCCCAGTATCTCAGACTATAGCTGTATTTGGAGATAGGGTCTTTAAAGAGGTGACTAAATGAAAACAAGGCTGTGGTGGGCCTTCATCCAATCTGGCTGGTGTCTTTATAAGACAAGGAAATTTAGACACAGAGAGAGAGAGACACCAGGGATGCGCACACAGCAACAAGACTGTGTGAGCAACAAGACCATGTAAGCACACAGAGAAAGGCATTGTCTGTAAGCCAAGAAGAGAAGCCTTTGGAGAAAGCAACCCTGCCATCACCTTGACCTTGGACTTTTAGCCTTCAGAGAAAATAAAAGTCTATTAGGTAAGCCCCTTAGTCTACAGTATTTTGTTATGGCAGCCCCAGCAAATGAATACGAGGGGCTCCCAGGGAAAGAGAGCCCCGGGGACCCCTGATGGGTGCAGCCACTCACCCTGTAGTAGTCAGTGCTGTACACGTCCCGGGACATCCCAAAGTCCCCGATTTTCACCAGGAGGTTCTCACCGACCAGGCAGTTGCGGGTGGCCAGATCTCGGTGCACGAAGTGCTGGGACGCCAGGTAGACCATGCCCGCGGCTATCTGTTGGGCGATGTGCAGCATCTGGGACTGGGTCAGCTCTGTTGGCGGGTTGCCTTCAGCCATCAGCACAGCGTCAGGCCCATGGGCCCTGTGGAGGACACAGAAGTGTTGCTGGAGCCCCAGCTCTTTCCTCCAAGGGCCCCGTCTCTCAGCAGCAGCTAGGGCTCAAGGGCTGCCTGACTTAGCTAAAGAGTGGGGGGGAGCTGCTTTGCCCACAGGTGCATCCCTAAAGCTTCAATTCCCAGGAAATCTAGAATTCTCGGGGCCATGTGGGCCTGCATGGTACCCTCCTCAGCGCGCGCGCGCGCGCACACACACACACACACACACACACACACAGCTCTGTGTTTTAGGGGCCCCAGAGCTAGCCTGGGGCCAGGCACCAGCCAGAGCCCCTGACCCTGAGAAGCAGTGGCGTAAAAACTATGAACAAAAATAAAAATAAACCAAAACCAAAACATGGGGGGAGAGTTTGGCTCTCTTGGAGTGGTGGAGGGGCATCATGCCCCAGTGGGAGCCCCAGCCCTCCCCTCCCAGCTACAAGCTACAGCCGGAGAACCCCCAACCCAGGCCAATGTCTCCAGCATGCCCCCACCAGGGCCAGAGTTTTGCAGTGGGGCAGGGTTTCCAAGCTGCCCTGGTCTCCCTCAAGCCCACCTTAGCAGAATCCCAGGGCATCCTCAGGCTGGACATTCATTCGCTGTGAAAAATCCCATCTCTTGCCCACCCCTCCCCTGCCCACCTGTGCCCTGGCCACCACATGGAGAGTTCTGGGGAATCACAATACATTGATTCTTTTACTGGGCCAAGTTTTATTCTTTACATTATGGCAGTGGCGGGGGGAGTATGGTATTTTATATCTTCTTTTTCTTCTATCTTATTCACTTGGCCTTTCCCTAGCAATGTGATGACTTAAGGCACCTCAACACTGGCACGTGCTTCAAGGAGGGGAGCGTCCCAGTCTCAGGATGCTCCCTCAGCCACACCAGGCCCTGCTCCTGAATCCTGCCAAGACTGGTGTCACTGGCCCCTGATGGCCTGAGGGGTGCTGCAGGGCAAAGAGTAAAGGGTCCCTCTCTTCCAGAAGCTTTGGTGGAGCAAAGTGCTGCTTCCTCCCAGAGGCCAATAAGGGAGAAGATTTCCTTCAGGACAGCTGGAAGCACTCAAAATCAATATGGAAGATTTTAAATGGATTTTAAAGTGGATGATCCCACCTGCAGGGTTGTGGAGCTGTACGAGTATTTGAAAAACGAAAGGGTTGGAGTTGTCCCAGAACACCCTGTTCCTTCTGCTTCTCCCCACACCAGCCAGCCCCACCTCGGTTGGACCATCTCCCACTGCAGGTGTATGCCCCTTCTTCCTGGCTCTAGCCCCCAGTGATTCCCCCTTTTGCTGGATTTCCAAATCCTTCATTCTTGTATTCTCAGAGAACAAACACTGGATGAGGAGGAGGGGAGTTTTCCACCACCAGGATCTAGGGGAGACTTTTAACTTGTCCAGTCCGTAATTTCCCCATCAGTCAAACAGACAAAGGGCTATTAGGCTAGGTGATCGTGTAGGTCCCTTGTATCTCTAAATATTTGGGTTGAACCATTCCAGGGGAGGAACTTCCTGGTTTTGTGCAAGAAGGTCCTAGCCCAGTTCACCTCTGTAAAGTGGGGGTACCCACTGCACCCTCCTAAGCTCATTGATGGGAGTAGTAACTGAGACCGTGCTTGTGCGGAGCTTCGTGGCCTTTCATGGAAAGCCAGTTTAAGATTGCTCAAAGGTTGAGGTTGTTTTTCCCAGCACTGAGGGGGCAGGGGAAAGGCGGAATGTTTTCACCTATCACGGGAGACAGACTCCTTACTGTGACTTTAAACGAGCAGAGAGACCTACAAGAACACATAAACTAGGAGAAATCCTGAAATATCCAGAGAATCTAGGCCAAGATGTAATCTTCATAGATTCAAATCAAAGAGTGAAGTATGTTGCTCACTTGCCAGAACCCTATTTCAGCCCCAGGAATCTAGACCCTTCTAAGAATCTATGCATGGCAAAGACTCCAGAGAAGAGGAGACGTTTGAGGCCAATGCCACAGGCCACCTCTGCCTGAAGGTGCCAGAAGGCTGTGGGCCTCCAGTGCCGTCTGCACTCTCCGCTACCATGTGTGGGTTAGGGCAGTCTCCCACATTTTAAACCAGTTGTCTCCTCTGCTTGCTTTTGAGTATTTGAACAAGACTCCTTTTAATGGGAGAAGGCTTTGAGCAGAAAATCCTGCTGTAAAAAGAGGGTAGGCAAGTCTTCTAAACAAGTTCTCGAGAGGAGTATAAATAAAGTCAACACAAAAGCCCTCTGCTTCATTCTCCAGGTTACCCTGCAGCTTTTGGAAATAAAAACATATTTTTACCTCTTCAGGGAGAACATGCCTTAAAAGGGGAAAGGCACAATTAGCACCCTGGCCGGGACAGCAGGAAGGTTCAATGGGCTTCTAATGAGGGAGGCTCTTCCCTTTCCTCAGCTTATTCTCTCCAAGTGTGGGTTACAGTCAGCACTTAGCCACACGGTCTGGCTCCAAATTCCGCAGCATGCTACTTTCCTTCTGATTTTTTTAACCGGCTACCTCAAGAGGAAGCAGTGCAGTGCTTAAGGCTCTGGGTTTTGCAGCCAGCGGCTGTGGGTTTGAATCCCAGCTCTGTGACTCAGTTTTCTTGTTTTGACTATAAAATGGGAATAGTTGTAATAATAGTTTATTAAGTTTATACAAGTTAAACCATTTAAAATGCTTAGAAGTCTCAATAATATTAGCTGTTATTACTTGCAAACTTGTTGTAAGGGAATTCTGGAGAGATTCCAGAGGAAAAACTGGCATCTCTTTGCAAGCAAGAACTATGTTTCTCCTCATTTCCCAGCCACCCTAGAATAGGGCCTGGCCATGTTGGTGTTCAGTGAATGGCTTTGGATGAATAAAAAGGGTGAGAGAAAATTGTAGACATCTGTCTTTATAGGGCAGTGCCAATGACACGGAGGGGCATGGTCATGGCATTGAGGGGCTGGGTTCCCTTCCAGAAAGGGAGGATGGACTGTAGTTCACAGTGCGTTATTGTGCCTGAGGACCTGCTTCTTGGCATTGAAAACCTCTTGTTACCAGAGTTCAGCAGATTCTAAAATCAAGTGGGAGAGATTTCTAATAGCTCCATGCCTTGTGCAAGACGCCCAGGGAGAATCAGGGGCCTGCTCCTTCTGGAATCAGGAAGGAGAGCTAGGGAGAGGTTGGCTGAGCCAAAAGTGAAAGGATCAACACACACACACACACACACACACTTACACATGCACTCACATGCATACACATACACAGTGTGAGCTCACAGAAGCATTTAATTGCATCCAGGTGAATACATTTGGTGTATTATTTTTGGTGCTATATTTTTGGAAAGCACCAGTTTTAATTAGAGAAGTAGCCTAGAACATGGGAACAAGGGAAAAATACTTCTATGAGCAGCTAGACCTCCACCAAATGTAGCTTCTTTTCCTCCTTTCACATGAGATCTGAAAGACAAAATCTATCATCATCCCCTCTCCCCAGCAAGAAAAATTGCTGACACTGAGGAACGCATCAGGATGACTGACTCTGAGCACCAAGAGGTGGCCACATATTCCTAATCTCACCTGGCATTCCCTCCCCCCATGCAATCATAAGCTCATAAGGCTGAGAAGGGGGACCCATCCCAGGGAAGGACGACTAAATTGCATGTGTATTCATGAGCCTAGTACAAGTGATCTGGAAGGTACAAACTGCATGATGACATCTCTAAGCACAGCAGTACACTGTCCCCCGCCACCGTTCTCTCAGCAATGGACTTATTAAACTGCACTGTTTCCGAATTTTCCAGGGGCTGCCTGGTGCCCATTTCTGAGGAAAGCCCTTTCCAGGGCCCCCAGAAGCTGGAGGAGGACAGAGAGGTCTAGATGTCACTGTAACACAAGAGGTATAACATCCCCAGGGTTGCGGATCCCTCAACCATGTGGCTCTGGGGACAATATCTATTGATTATCTGTTATCACAATCGTCCCAACACTAGTCCTTGATGTGGGTACTATTATACCCCTTTTACAGTTAAGAAAACCGAGGCCGACATCTTTCCTGTTTCTCTTCAGTTATACGATCTACCAAGACACCACAGGCAGCACACTTGCTAGCCTTTCAAAGCTGAGAGGTAGCCACGTTTGAAAGAACACAGTGTGTTAGAGCCAGGAATGACAGAGAGAGGGTCCAGCTCGGGCCCACCTGGAGTCGGGGTCCCTGGGGCAAAGTGGGCTGGAGACCTACCCAGGCGGACATGGCTGCTGCTGCAGACGAGGAAGGAGAGTCCAGTCTCCCAGCCCACACTACTGGGACTGCTTACTCTTTCCATTCATGCTCTTAAATGGGCGACTTCCATTTGTACCTCCGCTCAAGGCAAATAAAAGCATCGCTTGGTTCCCTTCCCCAAAGAGTCCATGGCTCAGTTCATTTCTCCCGTCCCTCATTTCTTCAGGGTCCATTTCTTCCTCTGTAGAACGTGCTGGTGTTGTCACCAGAGAACGTTCCAGGGGACCCCTGGCCCTTCCCCAGAGCTCCCTGTCCTCACCCTCAGGCCTGCCTGAACATGGAGGTCTGCTCCCTCTTCCAGCCCCCTCCCGCGCCACACCCCGCGCCCTACCTGAGGAACTTGTTGAGGTCCCCGTGCTTCATGTACTCGAAGACCATGATGAGCGGGTCGCCCTCCACACAGACCCCGTAGAACTTGACAATGTGCTCGTGCTGGAGGTTGGTCAGCAGCTCCGCCTCACGGTGGAAGTCCTTGCGTGCGTTGTCGCTGGCGTCCTTCAGAGTCTGGGGACGAGGGGCAGGCAGGGGAGAGAAGCAACACACTTCAAACTGAGAACATTTAAGGCAAGGTTGTGTGGAGAAGGAATGACTCCAGCAGGCCCTGCGGTTCCTAGATGTGAAGAAATTCATCTCATTCATTATACAAAAGACTGGGAAATGGCCTCATTCCTGAGGAAGTACTGTCTGTATTAAAAACTGAGGAGCAGTCGCCCCTCATGGGCGTGGAAAGCTTTGCAGTTGATGAAGTGCTCAGTGTAAGCGTTTCCTCATAAGTAACAGGTAGGAGCTTTTTCGAGTCTTCAGCTTTTTTAATCCCTGTTATCAGTCAATTATTACCACAGACTTCTCTTCCATTGTGGTACCTGTTCTGCTTTCAAGGATGCCATGGGCCGCTCACTTCTGCTCACATAACTTTAAAAGAAACTTCATATCATGGAAATATTCTGTCGAGAGAAGAGCATAACGAACCCTCACGTACCTATCTTCCAGCCTCGACAGTGATCATTTTGCCAGTTTTATTATGTAACGCGTTCAAAAGCCTTCTCCCCCCTGGGCCCATGCAAGCTGCCGGCTCAGCAGATGCCCCTGTCCGGGCAGTGCCAAGCTGGCCCATCATGTTGCCAAGATGACAATGCCCAGGGTCATGCCGGCCAGGCTCTGGGGCCCTTAGTTCTCTTCTCAGAGCGCTCCGCCAGCGCAGTGTCATAGGGCAAAGCTGACATTCCGTGATGCCACACACCTGTGCTGAGCTCCTGCCCTGTGCCAGTCACAGAGCTAGAGCTGTGCTGGCATCAGGAAGACAGTGACCCAAATCCTGGCCTCAGGGGCTTATTTATGGGCAAAGAGGGAGAGAAGTCACATTGATAATTACTCTACTTCACGCTTAAAACACACATCCTAAATGAACCAGCTCACCTGTATCTCTGTCCAGTTTGATCACTTTTTTTTTTAAAGATTTTATTTATTTATTTGAGAGAGAGAGAGAGAGAGCACAGAAGGGGAGTGAGAAGGAGAAGTGGACTCCCGCTGAGCAAGGAGCCCGATGTGGGATTCGATCCCAAGGACCCTGGGATCATGACCTGAGCCGAAGGCAGACGCTTAACCAACTGAGCCACCCAGGCGCCCCGGTTTGATCACTTGACATGTCTCTCTTGAAACCTATGCTTTTACCGTAACAAGGCTCTGCAGCTTCCCACATGACATCAGGCCAGGCCTCCCTGTCTCTGCCCGTGTCCCTCCCTTTGCCTGGAATCCTCACTCGGGCACGGTCACCAGGGTCACAGGGTGAATAATGCCCCCACAAGGGCGTCCACATGCCAATCCCCAGAATCTATGAATGTTACCTTACATGGCCAAAGGGACTTTGCAGATGTGAGTAAGTTAAGGGTCTTGATGCAGGGGGATTATCTGAGTGGGCTCCGAGTCATTCCACACAAGGGGCCGTGGGTGAGAAGGGGAGTCAGGAGAGAGCAGCTGTAAGGGTAGAAGCAGAGGTCAGACAGGACACAGGTGCCACGCTGCTGGCTTAGAAGAAGGGGCCACAAGCCAAGGAATGTGGGTGGCCTCCCAAAACTGGAAAAGGCTGGGAAATGTTTTCTGCCCGAGAGCCTCCAGAGGAGCCAGCCCCACTGACATCTTCCCTTTGGCTTAGTAAAGCTGATTTTGGACGTCTGACCATGGGAACTGTGAGAGAGATTGTTTGTGTTGTGTTAGCCCCCGAGTTTGTGGTAATTAGTGACAGCAGCTACAGTTAAGAGATGAGGAGAAGGAGGCCCAGAGGACTCCTGCTGGTAGAGGTGGCACGTGCACACGTGAACGCCTTCTCTGGAGACCGCAATGAGTGCTTACCAGTGTTAGATGGCAAATGTGAACATCCATAGTCACAAAAAATTGAACACTGGCACAGAATGAAAGCACGGTCATGCATCAGAAGTGTACTGAGTGTGAGACTACATACCATGTCCAGGATCAAAGAACACTGCCAGGCTCCTGGCGGTCCTGCTATACCTCGCTGCCTTGACTCTGCTCTCCTGGGGGGATGCTCCTGACCCGGGCAGCTTCTAGACCTTGGGATGTGCCACAAGTCAAACTCCCAAGGAAAAGACCCTGGCATGGAAGTTAGCAGCCAAGACATTTACTAGTATTAACACCTGCTGGGAGGGACTGGGCAGAGGGAGAAGCTGAGCTGTGATGCACTCTCAACACACCTCGTCTGGCCCTCCAGGATGACCCTTCAGGGCTGTCCTGAGTTGAGCCAAGGGGGTTGGGCCTTTGGAGCTTCACACCAGCCCGCCATTGGATGGAGGCCACCCCAGAAGGAGAGTGTGACCTTGCGTGGACTTCCTGAGCCCCTATAGGTTACTGGCAGCTGAGACTGTTGCAACCTTCCCAGCAAGCGAGGGAGCAAGTCCTTCATTCCCAAAGGGGGCAAGAGGCTCGTCATCAAGTCTGCTGCATGATGAGCTTGCAATATGTAACTTAGCATGCGCAAGGCCGCTCTCCACACAGGAGGGCACGGATGAATATGCAGGGCCTGCCTCACCTCAGTGACAAGGAAACATTAAGATGACAGAGGCAACAACAAGGTCGCAAAGTCTTTTCTGCTACAATCTAGCATTTTCATGAACTGACTTTAGCCGGATTGAAGCTTTCTCTCCAGTGATGACCTGACCCAACGGGACAGAAATTATACCTAGAGTTTTCTTTAGGCTAGAGGCAGTTGTTTCTTATGCCAAATTCTGGAGATACCAATCGAAAAAAGGGTCTGGTGGTGGGGTTCCCCATTCTCATGTTAGCATGTGGTTTTCTGAGTAGGGTCCCTTAAGAGCACCTGATTTAAAAAGTGAGATTTGGTCCAGCAAGTACTCAGAGAGGCTATAAAACTTTGGCAGGGCTGTTGCCATGGAAACCACACATTTCTTCATTTAATAACAAAATTAACAGTGGCTGAGAGCCTGGTGTCTGGGGCTCTGCTCCCTGGAATCACCAGAAACAGGTTTTATACCCAGCCAAACTCAGCCCCTTCATCCCTGTTGCATAGGGAGGTGTGAAGTGCTTATCTCGATGACTTGTTTAGGTTGGTTTTTAATCCAACGACTGTTTTGTTGAATTTCTGAGTAGGAAAAAATCACAGTTAGGGCAAGCAGACAGACACGGAGGAGATGGACGTTGTCATCGGCTGGTGCAAAATACATACATGGGAACATCTTTCACCCTTGGACTTGCATTGTGGTTTTGGGTATGTGTCTATCTCCCCACTATTCCTTTGACAGCAGGATCCCGTGTTGGGCAAAGAAAAGAACACTTGACCCATAAGTTCTGTGTAAACTAGAGATAAAAGAGCACTGGAAGGAATGAAAATTGAGCGTTCATCTGGAAAGGTGGCACACGGGTCTGAGTATAGGCGGAGAAAGCGGGCAGGAGGATGTAAGGATAAAGAAGAGACTTCCCAATTCACTGTCTCCTGGAGGGCTAGCCACAAAGGTCTGTGCTCGCCTTCTGGTCCAAAGACAGGTCCTCATAATGGTGGTACTCAAAAAGAAGGTGTTCTAGCTTAGAATTAAAAAAAAAAAATCTGGGTTCAAATTCTGACTTTGCTCTGGACCTCTCTGAACTCTTGTTTTCTCCTCTGTGGAGCGAGGGTAATGATATCATCTACTTCACAGGGTCACCGGGAGGACTGAGTGAGGTTGTGTAAGCTGAGATGTGTCCCAGGTCCCTGGTAGAGAGTGATATTTGAAATCAAAACCACAACCAGGCCTGCATTCAGTTTGCCTGCACGAGGATCCAGGAGGCCAAAAGCTGCATGGATAAGGCACAGGGATGGCCCACCCTGAGAACAGTGGGTCCCGGAGGCTGTCCCCATTCCCCTCCAAAAGCCCTTTGAAGCCTGCAGTGTCTTCTCAGAGAGCAAGACTCCTTACTCAGAGCCTGCCTTGCATTGCTGGGATAGCTTATTGCTGGTGCCTTGGCCTACCTTTAACAGTGAGCTAGAGAAGGCTCTTGACCCTTTTAGGCCATTATCGTCACAAGGTGTGAACAAATTCTGCATGTAACCTCTTTTCTTAAGTTTAGCTTTAGAGTGTTGATTAAGAATGCTAGACTGTGTGTGTGTGTGTGTGTGTGTGTGTGTGTGAGTGTGTGAATGTGTGTGTGTGTGAGAGAGAGAGAGTCAGGCGGTGCGGTAGAGGGGTAGGATGGGAGAGAAGACAGGATTTTCGGGGGGGGGCACACCAAACTAAAAGAGCTAACGAGCATCTAACATTTCCATTTCCCCAAAGCAATCTACTGCAGGAAGAGATTGTTCTTAGTGTAATGTCAGAAGCTGTGCTTCAGTAAAATTTTTAGATTTAAGAAAGATTTCACTATTCATGGGGCAAGAGCATCCCACAAACCTAGCTCCATCCTATGAGCCCATCCATTTTTGCATGTTGGGTCCTTTTTCTAAATTATGATTCAACTCTATTTTAAGAGATTCAGAAAATATGGCAGTAACAAGTTGGGCAAAATCATCTTCTGAATTTGGCACTCGAAGGACAGAATTTTTCTAAGGGTGGAACCATAGCCAGACAGCAATCAGAAGCTGGAAAAATCCTGCTATCAACCCTATTTATAAAAATCATCTCTGTTTTTGTACCATGGCTGATTGTCATTTTTCTCAATTAAGGGAGGCTTGGCTGGTTCCCCGAGTCCTTGGCAATGGACATGAGGTGGCAGCTTCCCTCACTGACAATCGCCACCACTTTGACAGGCATATTTGCCCCATCATTGAGCATTGCTATTTTCTTACTCCTGGTGTCTGCTTTGTAGTTTTGTTTCTTCTTATTCCTGGTGAATTTCCTGACACTTCAAAGCTACCATCCTTTTCTGAAGACATTCTCAAGGGAGAGGTCTCATCCAGAGCTACAGCAAGTTACTGCCTTGAGCACACAATGATTCAGAGTTGGGAGAATTGAGCAGCATGCAATAAACTTCAGCACAGAACTGAGAAACTAGTGAAGGCA